GTGACTGTAATGGGTGTGGGCTTTCTTTCTGGGTGATGGAAATGTTCTGAAATTAGGTAAGGATGGTAGTGCAACTTAGTGAACGTATTTAAAAACACTAAATTTTACATTTCAAATGGTGAATTTGATGGTGTGTGAATTATATTTCAATAAAAAAAAACAATGACTGTAATTGAGTACAAAATACTGGATTTTAAAACATCCATGAGTCCAGGATGATACTCAAAAAAGAGAAAGGGAAAAACATACTCATTTGACACTACTGGCGATAACTCTTTAACCAACTCCTTATGCTAACAATTGGCAATGAAAAGAGAAAAATTAAACATTTACTCTGCCTTTGTAGGATGAAATGTAGTTCATCCCCAGTTGATAAGGAAAAGCTCTTCTTTACCGAAGACTGCTAGCTAATAAATATGGAAGAAATCATGGGATTAGAAAATGACTTTTTTGCAACTCCCAATTAAATAATTGATTCAGCCAAGAATCATTAATAGATGCTAAAATCACGGGGTAACCCGGTGATGGTGAACCAGACAGTCACACGGTGCTGAATTATCGCCCTAGGATTACTTTCGGAGGGAAGACGGTATCTTTACAAAGGAGGATCTAGCTGCCACTGCCTTAACCAAATGGTCTGCCCCAGCATCACTGTGGGACACCCTGCATTCCTGGACGCCGGTATGCAACAGGAAGCACACAGTACCAGTTGCCAAAGCGTTCTTGCTAAAAAGGTTAACTTGCATCTGATGAAGACTTTAGACCTCATTTTAACTTTACAGGAAGTAGGATGATAGATGAGCAAGTTAAATGCCTCTCCCCAACTAGGAAACCTTTTGACAAATCCAGAGCACAGGGTATTCTATGAGACAATTTGGTCTGCTTCCCTCAAAAAGCCATTGTTATGAGAAATAAGAAAAAGACAGGAGATCAGTCTAGAATAAAAGAGACAGAGGAGATGGAACAATCTGATACAATGTGTGAGCAGGAAGACATATAAATGCCTTCACTTTCCCTTACTATCAGATTTTAGTGATAAGTTCATCCTCTGTAGCTTTCCAGCTTCCTCTCTGCTCTGGATAAGTTCAAGGTGATTAACTGTACCCAAAAATCTGAACAAACTCACTGGTAACATATACAGCCGTAGAGCCTACATGGGAGGTAATTCGTTGATACAGTTTGTAATTTCTTGCATGGATACTGGTTATTTCAGATTTTCTGCTTCTTGGGGTTAATTTTGGTGACTTTCTTTCAGAAAAATTATCATTTCGATCAAATTATCAAATCTCACTGTAATAGCCTCACACGAGCTATTTTATTTTCTTCCCATTTCCTCTGCCACCATTGTTACGTCCCTTTCCAAGTTCGAATTTTGTTTTCCTTTTTTCTTCGATTTACGAGAGATTGATCTATTTTATTGTTTAGCGTTTGTTTAAAAGGCAGCATTTTCACTTCTCAATAATCATTCTGATTGTTAATTAATCAATTTCCACTTCTAATCATTTCGTCCCTCTTTTCTTACGGGCTTCTGTGCTGGGCCCTGAGCTACAGAAACGATACACACGATAGATTTCCTACAAAAACCCTGCGGAATAACAGAATCCATGAACAAGTGAATAAACTGGCTTTTCTCGTCTTTGGCTCTCCTTTGGGATGCGCTTACCTACAGCACTGTCAGAAGACACCGAATGAAATGCTTGGGGTGAAATCAAAAACCCTCTGGGCACAAGCCTAGTAACACACTTCTGGGATTATCAACGCTTTTCAGGCCACGTCCCACCAACTTACCTGTCCTTGCCACTTCCGTTCTTCAGGTTGACATCGGTGCCGTTCGAAACTAGGATTTTCACAAGCCTGAAGGAAAGAAACATAAATGTAGCTAGGTGGGTAGCACTGATACAAGGAACCCACGATAACTCAGTAAAGCTAACACGATGCTTATGACAAGTCTGCAGGGCTTTCTCCTCCCAGAGGCCTGCTGGTTTTCATGACAACAGTCGACCAGGAAACTACCTCCACACACAAAAAGGGGGGAGGGGGGCTTCACCCTGTGCACAAGTTATTCATGAAAAAACAAACCAGACCATAAGAAACAAATTGGACTACCAAAATAATTCACTGTCATTTTAACGAGCGTTTTTAATATATTTTCAAATGGCCGCATTTAATGAAAATACAGCTCCATATTTTTCAAAATGTCATTTTAGCAATTAAAATAAAAGGATGATTGAAAAATGAGATATTAGTATGTACGCTTATCTCTGCGTGGAATAGATACAGAAACGCATCGATGAAAACTACAGCTTCGCGATCTATGAGGGAAGTTCTTCTTCCAGAATTAATATCCACCTCCTCTTTTTTTTAAAAGAAATTCAAATTCTGATAACTAGTTGTCCCAGGTGGTATAAAATATATTGCATGTAATTAAATGGCTACCTCGCTTCCGTGATGTGTGATTATGGAGTTTACATTCTCTCCTTCATGATAAAAAAAAGGAGGCTGACTTTGTAAGCCACCACGTGGTACAGCTTTGGAAAGAGAGAAGAAGTTGGGCTGGTTCCTCCACAGCTCTGTTGCTCCTCGGCCCAACCTGAGCCTTTGGGAGAAGCGAAAGGTTCAACCACCCACTCAGAGAGGGAAGAAGAGCAGAGCTGTACCTGGTGTACCCTTTCTGGGCGGCGACCATCAGAGCGGTAAAGCCAAACTTATTGGGAACGTCAACCTTCACGTTGCTGGGAAACACAGGAAGAAGACATTAACATGCCGGGCATGGCTCCCTCAAGGCTTATGGCTGACAGCTCTTGCTGGGCACAGGTGGTCAAATGGTTCCTTTTACCAAAACTTCCTATTTCTTCTGGGCCGTTCAGTTTCTGTTGTCTTACAGTGCCCTGCCTAATATTTTAAAAGAGTCAAATGTACAAGAATAGAAGAGCAAATTGCTGTAATTTCACTTAAAATAGGCACTCCCTTCAACTCAAAACCATTATGCGTTGCGATAAAACTCCCCACGAAGAGCACAGCCTCTTTAAATGGCTGCGGACACAGCGTCTTCGCTGCAGACGTTTTCAGCTCCACCGAACAGGGGCCGAGTCTGTGGAGACCCGTGTTTCTCTCCTGAATTCCTTATCACCTCCCCAGCATAAAGCCATGCCACACAAAGAAGAAAGCAGAGCCGCTAAATGTCAGCGTGCAAGCTTTGGCTGTTTGTGGGAAGCTTCTCTTCCCCAACTTAGATCCCCATTTCACAGATGACCTGTCTTTGAAGGCGCGCAGAACTACTGATTCAAGAAAAATCTAGATCATGTTGTTCGGTTTTCATTTAGAAGGCGGCTTTACATTAAAACCTATCCGAGGAGAGCGTATTCGCCGCTTTCCCTCTAGTGCCTCACTCATCTTTTGAGTTAGGAAGTAGCCGATTTTGTGATGCTCTGATTTCAACAGAAATTAGATGTAAGCATTTTAGGGTGACACCTGCCTAAAAGCTATGACTTGATGTAAGCAGGGGTCAGAAATTATTTCTGGGAAGGAATGTGACACTCAGATTTGTAATTTCCTTTTATAATTTTACTTAAACAATTACATAAATCTAACATCTACAGGGGCTTTATAATTGCCTTTCCTAGCTATGCTGAACTCATCACAACAGTCACCTGAGATTAATTCTGGAGCCCGTTTCAAAGGCCTGGGAAATGTCAGGAAAACAAAATAACGCTGCATCATGCCATTTCTACACCCTTCATGGGCTCTGATTAAAATCAGTAAGTAAAAGACCTGGTAGAGTTCTCTCACCCTCCTTGAAGGATTCGAATGAGCAAATCTTCATCATTCACGTTGACAGCCCGATGGAAGTGCTCGCTGCTGATGGGTTCCCCTGAAGAAATAAGACAGAACGTGGTCATCCAAAACGCAGTGCGAGAAGATTCCTGTCGGCCACATGCCTTCTGTGCCCTTGAGTGCGTGCCCACGTGCACCTCCAAGAAGGCGTCCGGCTATCCTGTGAGCATGTCTTATGATTCCTACTCAATGCTGCTTTGACTGAAAAAGATCTCGTCTGTACATAGTAAGAGAAGAACATTTAGTCTGACCTAAAGGTTTGAGAGGAGCCCTGGTGGCGCAACGGTTAAACGCTTGGCTGCTAACTGAAAGGTGGGCAGTGAGAACCCACCAGCCACTCTGCAGTAGAAAGATCTGGCAATCTGCTCCCATAGAGATTACAGCCTAGGAAATCCTCTGGGGCAGTTCTTCTCTGTCCTACAGGGTCGCTATGAGTTGGAATCTACTCGATGGCACACACCAACAAAGGTCTGGGACACTTTTAAGTTATAAAAGTATTGCTTTACGAGGGTAATTTTGCTGTTTGAAAATAATCCTTTGAGACTTCATAAAATAAGCTGAGTTTAAGGCTTAATAAATGTCTCTTACAAGCAAGGACAAACCCAGCCATTGTCATGATGTACTCGTTTTGTCTAAAAGTCACTAAACTACTTGGAACAACAAATTAAAAAATCGCTTTAACGTGTGAAATCCAAAATTTCAGTTCTTCCCGGGAGTATGACATCCATATTGGCCTTGTCTTTGCTGAGGGTGTAGGAGCGCAGGGGGCTCCCCCGACAGGGAGGCGGAGCATCGTGAGAAAGCGGAGCAGAGCCCAGGAGCAGCATCTGAGGAAGGTTGAAAGCACAGTGGGAAACGGGCTGGAGGGAGGGTGTCCCCTCGTCCAGGGGACATGAGCTCTTCACGGACCAGAGCAGGGCATGAACTCGGAAACAGGCAGAGGGTGAGGACAAAGGGCAAAGTGAAAGCTTCCCATGCTGCCCCCACCACCCCCCGACACAGGGCACCAACGTCCGTCACGGCTCCATTTGTTTCATAGCCTGTTAACAAATCTATGGCCGTCAAGCCAATTCTGACTCATAGCGACCCTACAGGACAGAGTAGAACTGCTCCATAGGGTTTCCAAGGAGAGGCTGGTAGATTTGAACTGCTGACCTTTTGGTTAGCAGCCGTAGCTCTTAACCACTGTGCCACCAGGGCTCCACATAGGACCGTTTAATTTTTAAAATAATTATTATGGGGCTTAAATGAAAGATTCCGAGTGAAGCACTGGGAATGGCACCGGGCACGTGGTGTCTGTTGCTGAGGTTAGTGGCAATAGCGGTGGCCGCAGCTGTTCGGTACAGCCCTGCCATCTTCTTCATCCCAGTCCCTCCCCACACTTAGAATACTTCCCTGTCCCCACAGGCATTTCAGTTTATAATCCCCAGTCTATGGAATCTCAAAGATCTCAGTCATTCATTCATCATTCATTCATTCAACTAATATTGAGTGTCTTATATGCCAAGTCTTGTGCTGAACACTGGGGACCACAGAGAAAATAAGACAATTCCGTTACAGTGTCCTCTTCCAGCCTACTCTTATTCAAATCCTAGAAGGACACCTCTCCCCATGAGCCTCCTCCCCACACTGCCACCCCAGACTGCCTCCGGGGGCTCGTACCACCCCTGCACCTCCCTCTTCCAGTCTGGCCTGCAGAAGTGCATTGACTGTCTCGGCCATGGGGGGCTAAATCTCCCGACTCCTCTCCTGACAGTGGGGAACGCTCGGGGGGGCAGCTCCCGGCACAGGTACCACCTTTCTCCCCTTTCCTAAGAGGCTTTCAACCGTGCACAGGGAACCAGGCAGAGTTGGAACTGGGAAAACGGGGGAGCAGGACAACGAAGGGGTGGCTATCAGAACACGGCCGTTAGCTGACATCCTCTCTTTTTTTCTGGTAAAAGATCAACTGGAGCCAAGTTAACACTGTTTTGAAATAACAATTTTGTCTACTTGAGCCTGCCAATCTCCTAAAGATTTTTTAGTCACATTATACTTCCTCTTGGTCATTCCACACATATTTTCAGACCCAAAGCTTCAAATGAAAGTATCACAATAAACCGTTGAAGGCCAAGCCCACAGCTGCGCATGGCCCTTCAACAGAGGTCGTCCTAGCTGGGTGGTTCTCAGCGTGTGGGGGTAGGGGAGGGGAGGGCAAGGGTTTGGGCTGCCCTCCCCCTACCCCGGGAATTTTGGCAATATCTGGAGACATTTTTGGTTGCCACTAGCTGGGTAGGGGGGTCCTACTGGCGTCTAGTGGGTTGAGATAGGATGCTGCTAAATAAACATCCTATAATGCACAGGACAGCCCCCAAACCCATAATTATTCAGCCCCAAATGTCAACAGCGCTGAGGCTGAGAAACTCTGGCCGACAGGGATATGGACTTAAAATGATATTCTGTGATACAGCCACACTTTAGATGGATGAACGACACCCACTCGATGTTTCCCTTCCCTCTTGCTCCCCGGAAAGGAGGGGAGATTGGTGGGGTGGCAGAAGTCTCTATCATTCTACCAACAGCCCCCCACTTCTATGATATTCAAACTTCAATTTCCACAAAAATGCAAACAAGTCATTTGCATAGAGTCACCTATAAGGATGTACAAAGCACACTCCTATTAAATTTTAAAACATGGTATCCTGAATCAAATTCTACAAATTAAGCCGTCCCTGGAGAACGACATCATGCTTGGTAAAGTGCAGGGTCCCTCAACGAGATGGACTGACACAGTGGCTGCAATGATGGGCTCCAGCATGATTGTGAGCACGGCGCAGGACTGGCGGTGTTTCGTTCTGTTGTACGTGGGGTTGCTGTGAGTTAGAACCAGCTCGATAGCACCTAACAACAACAGGACTTTATATAGTACACAGTGCTTTTCAGAGTCTCCTTCAAACCACAAAACCAAGGTCAGAAAGGTTGAGGGAGTGGTCCGAGGTCACCCCGTAGCAGGCAGCATCAGAGCTCAAGGCCACGCTGCTGTGAAGGCCACACTCCTTCCCTTTGATGTTTTAATAAATGTTGTGGTGTCTGACCAATTCACCAGATGCTTCCATTTTCATTACATTTTGAATACAGACATCTTAAATAAATATGATTCCACGGCCCCCAATGTGTTAAACCAAAGGGGATAACTAGGCAACTCCGGCAAAGTGCTAACCTCCTGGGATTTTAAGGGAAGTTCTAAAATCGTAGCCTGCATCACACCCTGTTTCCGCCCTGACCATCTGCATCCCCTGCCATGCGTCTTACCTGACTGGCAAGGCTCTCCCAGACGGGCCCTCCTAGTTCATCCTAACCAGGAAGCTCTGCAGTGTGCGAATACTGGGAAACACAATAAGTTCATTTCGTGCTTATCAGCTTGAGGACTGTTTGTAGCACAGACCCAGACATTGTGATATTATGATATAATTAAAATAAATGTTTTGCCTATTCCAACTTCTGCAAGAGGTAATCGGCGCTCTACTTCCTCTGAGAACAAGGTGACGCCCTCACAGAAGAGGGGGAAAAACAACGTAAATGTGCATCATCCTTTGCTTGCTGAAGTTCAGCCAAAGGAAGCAGTGACCATCACGCGGGGTGGGAAAGCCCTTTCTCGGCATTAACTCGTGAATCCTGCTCACACTGCTTCCAGGTAAGAGGCACCGAGGAATGCCACCAGAAGAACCCGAATCGACTCAGCCCAGAAACGCTCCACGGTTTACATGAACGGGACAAGAGGAAAGACAGAACAGGCTCTTGCTCGAGCACACAGCTCTCCTTCCTACTCCCACCACGGGCAGAAGGCACAAAGAACAGATAGAGGAAATGCGGGGGAGAGAGAATGCTCCACTCCCCACCCGACTTCAAGACTGTGGACCCAGCCCAAGGGAGCACCATGGGTGAGCGCTGCTGAATATACGAAGGGCAGAGTCTTCGTCTCTGTGGGTTTGTTTTTCTCTTATTACCCCGAGTGCTGCAATGACAAATATTAAACGATCCTGCCTGTGGGGAGGACGCCCACGAATGCTTGTCTGCGCTGGACGGAACCCAGCAGTCAGGACCATGTGAAGGGGCATCTCTGGGCAGAGGGGCAGAGTGGTCTTCGGGAAGCCATGGCTCATATTCTGCAAGAGAGTCACCGAGCTGCAGATGTGCTGGCAGATATGATAATGTGGTGCTAACACCTTTCCAGGTGGGATTTAAGTCTCTATTAAAAGCCGTGACTAAATGAGGAGCTCGTTGGAGAAGATAGTTGCCAATTAACGAGCAGCAGTTGCTTTTCTTTCTTTTTAAGGGCCCAACTGATTAAAATTATATGCCTCATTTAAGCAAGAGTCTCCTGTACTTTACCTGGAAATTTAAAAAAAAAACTTTAAAAGACTGAACATCCTTTATTTAAACAAAGTACATGCTCTTGTGACTCATTAAAACACTTTCAAACTGAATGCAAATTATCAACCCACAGAAGCATTTCACTTGCTCTGTAAATGTGCATTTTTCATTCTTTATTTAGTGTGATCTGCCATCTTCAAAGAGGCTGCTTTGGAAATTACAAATATAACAGTGTAAGAGAGTCCTCGCCTGCCAGCAGAGCCAAGGGCCTGCCCAGAAGGAAGGGAGCCCGATCCTCACCAACCTCTACTGCGCGTTCTCAGCACACACAGAACTAACTCGGGTTCTGCCAGTCTGCCTCCCTTTCCTTCCCCTCAAAACTCCGGCAGCTAACTCTCTCTCGTGCACAAGCAAATGCTTTCCACATAGTCAGGTTGAGAAACAAGACCTCTTTTCTGATCTGCATCACCATTGCTAACTATTCACTTCAAATGTCTCCAATGAAATTATATTTTCATGGCTAGCTGGGCGGAACTTAGGAATGTATAGCGTCGCCACTCCCAGCATCAACTAAACTCTCAGCTAAACTAAGACCATACCATTCCCCTAGGTCCCTGGTTTTCAACTGACGATATTATAAGAGAAAAAAACCAAACCCATTGCCGTTGAGTCGATTCCAACTCATGGCGACCCTATGGGACAGAGCAGAACTGCCCCACAGGGTTTCCAAGGAGTGGCTGGTGGATTCGAACTGCTGACCTCTTGGTTAACAGCCGAACGCTTAACCACTGCACCACCAGGGCCCTGAAGTATTATAGGCTAACTCAAAACCTGAATTATCTTTAATCCACAGCAGCATTTCCATAAATAAACACCTAAAAGACACAACTGTAATCCACAGAAAATACATACAATATACATGTATGTACAAATACACATGCAAGCCAAATGCTACACTGGAAACAATTTTTCAACAACTTCTTGCTCACTAGAGGAACGTTTCCTTTGTGCAACCGAAACGGACTTACCTGCGTCTGCCGTGGGAGGCCTGGAGGAATATTTCTGGAAATTTGAGTCTTTACAACATTCTAGCTCAAAGGCAGCACGGGACACAACATCTTTAAACTCTTTTTGAAATACAGGTCATAGAAAAATATTTGCACCCTTACATATGAACTGGGAAAAGGACTGGTCCGAGGCTCTGTGACCAGCCTCCTCTGGCCCCCACCTCCTCTGTGTGGGGCTCTCTCACCCTTCCACGTTTCGCCTTCAGTGAAGATGCAACGCTAATTCTTCCTCCCTCACAGCACCCGCAGGAATTAGATGTGTATGTTGAGATGCGTGCAGTGAAGTTGTCCAAACAGGACAAAATCCTGCACAGCCCTTCTCACGTAAGGCCACCCAAACAGGCAGCCTGATTCTCCACGTGCGGGACGCTTGCCCAGCCACACCCTGGTGGCCCATTTCCTAAGAAAAGCGACTCTGCCCTTTTGTACTGAGTGGACATTGTCTAACATGGTAGTCCTGGCACAAAAACAGCTCTCCTAATTCGTTAAAGCACAATTAGAACCCCCTTACCTTGTGGCAAGGCCGACCCAGCAAACGATATTATCATAGTGTTTAAAAATGGCGTGGTTTCACTTCTAGTACAGCCGAGTCAAAGACAATATTTTTACCTCTGAGTTGTTCATCATCTTCTTTTATCTTGAAGGGCTTTGGAATACTTACTGGTCGTAGATACTGAGACAACTGGGCTGTACTGGTATTCTCCAGAGGGGCTAGTGACCTTCAGTCGAAATCGATAGAGTGTCCTCGGCTCCAGACCTTCCACAACATGCTTTGTTGCATATCCCCTAGACGGAGAAGACGCACACGCTGTTAACACCAGCTGATCTAAGTAATGTTCTCTGATCAATTATTAGAAGAGCATCTGGAGAAGGTTCTTGAATACTATTATTTCCAGGACATCTCTGACCCCTGCTGTTGACCTGCTCGTCTCCCACACTAGACTGCAGGTCCTGGGAGCAAGGGACCAAGTCACCCCGGCACTGCTTTCCCTACCCGGCACGTGCCCTCTCCATTCCCCCGGGCCTAGTCCAGCACCTGACAGGTAGCTGCCACACAATTTTGCACTTTGGACAAATAATCACGTTAACCCATGACAACAGTCCTCAATGATAAAGTTGCATGTTTGAAAGACAACACAGGCTGTCAGATAGTAGATACGTGGTTTTCAAGAGGAGGTCTTAGAGTGAACGGGGAAGGTTCTCTAGTTGATGGCTGCATACCTACATGCAAACTACCACTAAAGAGAGGGGAGCTGAAGCAGTGAACAGGCAAATGCTGGCAGGATATGAGAACTGCTTACGCCACTGGGGAATCTGACAGCGCACATGAGAAACCACTCTAACGGCGTGCCCCATGGTCAAGTTCATCTAGGAATGCTGTGGGAAACGGACGCTGCATACTTCTGGGACAGGAAACTGATTAGAGGCTGGTGATGGAAATCCACACGCCCCCAGGGGGAGAGGCACTGCATCTAGTCATCGGAGCCCGCAAAGCACCAAGAAGTACAGTGAGGCAGGCTGTTTGCTTCTCAGGAGACCTGGGACCTGGCAGAGGTGCCAAGATCCCACCATCTGCTCGGGAGGTGGTCCCAGGGACCTGGCTGTGACTTGGCATGCTTCTAGGACATCAGGTCTCCCGAGGCCTACAGAGCTGCATCTATTCCCCAGTACTGCCAGAAACAAACCTCAGTTTCCCTTTGCTGCCAAAAATCTTGATTGGCAGCTGACTAAATTCCATGAATCCCTTTCCGATCCTTCATCTAAATTTTTCTTTCCTCCTACCTTAGAGGCTTGATTTTTGAGAGTTTTTAGGGGAAGGGGCACTATTTCCAGCTTTCTTTCCTGCTTCAGTGCCCAGCGCAGCCCTAGTTCTCTCTCCAGAACGCTCCACAGCCCCCTGAACTCCAAGGTGACCGTTGTTTTTTCCCAGGTTTTTTCCATCTGTCTCTGACGTTTCCTTCATCCTTGCAGATCCTCCGCAGCAGTGAGAACCATACTTTGGGATTCACAACTGATTTTTCAATGTTTATGTGCAACTTAAATAGTTATCCGTCAGTCCCAGTCCGTGCAACTCAACGAACATGCCAGTGCCCATGGTTTGCAAGGCGCTGGACAGGCTGGGGATGTAGCCCTGGACCAGCTCAGGTCTGAGATGAACCTGTCAGCAGGGAGTGGCCTGCCTCCTGCTGATGGGGTGGCAAGAAGAGGGGACAGTCAAGGACAGTGAGGAAGTGACAGCCGAGCTGGGCTGAAACAACAGTGCTGGAGTTAGCACCACTCCTGCTAAAAGCTCAACTGAAAGCAGGGCTGTAGATCTGGGCCAGGTGGGCATGCTAACACCTCACACATCAATTACGCAGCCTCACTGCCAGGCCCTACTGGAAAACCACAGTCTTTCGCCAGCAGAGCAAGCACTGAACCGAGTGCATGGCTGGAGAGAAGACACAAGCCTTGATCTAAGAGGCAGGAGTATCCCAAAGAGAGCCCAGGAGGTCTTCTAAGTCCCTTCTCCCAAACTCACCCATCAGAGGAGTGATGGGTGAGGAGTAAAAGGCAGGGGGAGCCCAGCAGAGGGTCCTCCGGGGGGGGGCTCCCAATGTAAAGTGAGAAACAGGTGAGGCACTTTCCTAACCCACAGGCAGAGGGTCCCAGACAGACAGGTGGGAAACAGGGGCTCACACAGTAAGAACGTTGGGCTGGAAGGACGTGGAACACTCAAGCAGCGGCTTGGTCTACTCTGGCAAGAGCCAAGGGTGACCAAGGTGTCTGGCGACGAGAGTTCGAGCCAGGTGGCGTGGATGTGCCTTCCTGAGAGAGGAACCTCAGGTAAACCAAGAAAAAACCGTTTTGAAAACTAGGAAATATTTATTGACTCATTTCTTTTGGGTTTCTCTCTCTGTTGTTTATCCAAAATGTAAATTTTCAAGCTGAAATAAAGTCCCAAACACTCTGTGATGCCTTTTTCATATTACATGTTACTTCAGGCCCCCAAAACTAAATGACTTCTTGGGTATGGCTCTAACAGAGAGCCAAGAAAGAGAGACCGGGAATGAGAAGTTGGCCTCTGACAACCAGTCCCCATCCCTGCATGCCATGTCCTTCTTCCTGCAGAGACAGGGCCCATGTCCTCCCCCTTGAGCAGGTGGAGTGCAGCAGACGTGACACTGTGTGAGGTCTGAGCCTAGCCCTGAAGGTGCCTGGAAGCTTCTGCCTTTCCTCTCTTGGGAGTGAGCCACCATGAAAAGAAGTCCAACTACCCCGCTGGAGAGAGTGGCCACTTGGTAAGAGAGGCCCTGAAAGAAGAGAGACAGTGGAGAGGGAAGAAGAAGGCTGGTCAGCCTTTAGCTGACCCAGCCATGCTAGCAGAGGCATCAGACTAGGATAAGAGTGAAGCCGTTTGGGTCCTCCAGTCCCAATAGAGCTGCCTCAGCCAAACACCACAGGGAGAAGGAACAAGCCATCCCCCCTTGCCCAGATTTCAGAATTGTGAGCAAACACATGATTGTCTATGTTTTGGGGTGGTTTGTATCAATAAAAGAGAAGCTATAAAAAGGCAATGAAGAAATGATACCAATGGCATAAAAAAAAAATATGTAACATTTGAGTCAAAAAGCCAAGGAAATAGAGAAGTGTTAGGAATAGATATAAATAAATTTACCACAAAAGTAAAAGCTCTAGAGCCAAGATAAATATTCAGAAAATTGCCAATGGGTTAAGACAGAACAACACACCCTAAAATACATCAGCCTGGCGCCAAGTAGTCCTCCCATGAATCGGTGGATTTTATTGTAACTGAGCATAGGTCCTTGAACACTTAGATATGTGAAGCATAGAAACCAAGTCCCCCAAAATTTGTAGCATCTGGAAAGATCTTCAGGAGCTCAATGAGAACTAGAATATCCAAGCCTCAAAGGGATTCAATGCCAGGTGGCAAAGACTTAACAAAGATATAGAGTAAAATAAAGCCAAAAGTACCTCAATAATATTCAATATTGCTAAACATCGTAAGATCACACTGAAGCCAAAAGCACCTTCTTAACTCCTACCTAGAAAGGGAAATAACAGAACTCTTTTAGAAAGCATGTTACTGAGCACATTTGTGCTTAGGTTGTGGCATTTCCTCCTTCTGGGATGTAAGCTCCGTTTTCTAACTTGTTGATTGCTGTATCCCCAGTTCTTACAACTGTCTAGCAAGTTTGTTGATTGATTGAATTGATCTTGTCCTGAGGCTGGAGGTTCTCACAACATCAATCGGGATGGCCTCATGGAGAATACCAAGATATAGCAGGTCCTGGGACACAACTGCCCACTGGGGTATTCTTGTTGTTAGGTGCCATCAAGTCTATTTCAACTCACAGTGACCTCATGTGACAGAGCAGAACTGCCCCCCCATAAGGTTTTCTAGGCTGTAATCTTTACAAAAGCAGATCCCCAGGTCTTTTCTCCCATGAAGCTGCTGGGTAGATTCTAACCGCCTACCTTTCAGTTAGCATCCGAGCACTTAACCATTGCACCACCAGGGCTCCTTGCCCCTTGGGGTACGTCACAATAATTACAGCACAAACAGGGATGACTAATAAAAGCAATTCATAAACCTATGGAGAAGCACAACTTAACACTGCCTAGACGTGGTGATGTAAAGAAAGAATTTCAGAATTATTTCCACAATAGAGGAGAGTACTCAAAAAATGCAAAACATAACCTTATTTTTGTTATCATGAATCAGCAAACGTCTGATACGAGAGCTGATGGAGCACAAAACATGAACTAAATATTGGCACACCCAAGGACTCCATCACCAGACTTCTCCCTTCTATCTGTACTCACTCGCCTAGCATTCCAGTCCAGCGTCACACTGATGACTATGGCATTTGTATCTCCAGCCCAGACCTCTCCCCACTGCACCCTTCTTCCCCAGCTACCTTCTTGAATTCTCCACTTGGACGTCTGATAGTCCAGCTGGACTTTCCTTTCCACCTGCAGTCTTCCCGTCTCTGTTGCTCTAGTTCCTCAGGCCAGTAGCCTTGGTGCCACCTGTGGAGGACTGGGTTACCATCCACAAGTATTTGCTGTTCCTCCAAGGATTCCACACCTCTGCCTCGATGAACTCTGACATGGCCACCTGACTCGCTTTGAGCAATAAAGTATACACAGAAGTGAAGTGTGTCGTTCTGGGTGGGAACTTCAAGAAACAATGCACCGTGCCCTCTTCCCCTTTGGCACATGACTGGCAATGCTCCAGACAGAGGCTGTGCCATCAGCCTGGGCTGTGGAGTGAAGACAATGTGGAATGGAGCCATGGCCCACCCACAATGGACGTTTTGTGTGAGAAATGAACCACCATTATTGTAAGCCACTGAGATTTCACAATTGATGTCTAATGCAGCAGAACTTGGCCTATCCAGGCTATTATATATCCCTTGACCATCCTTTTTCTCTCTCATCCCATATCTGGTCCACCAGCAGATTTTTTTCACTCTGTCTTTAAAATATAACCTGAATTCAACTACTTCTTGCACTCTGGTCCATTTTCTCTCATTGAAGTTATCGCATAAAGCCTCCTAATTAGCTTTTCCTGCTGCTTGGCTGCCTTGCTTCCCTGTAGCCTAGTCTCAACTCAGTAGCCAGAATGATGCTCATAAAACCATGCCAGACCATGCCCCTCCTCAGCCTAACAGTCTCCAATGGCTTTCCCCATCTCTCTCAAAGTCAAAGTTCTTTTGACAACCCACAAGACCCTAGGGTTACCTCCCATGACCTCTGCTCCTTTTTTACCCACCCCCACAGTGTTCCTGACACATGACAAGTAAACTCCTACCTCAAGGTCTTGCACTTGCTATTTCTTCTGCCTGGAATGTTCTTCACGTGGGTATTCCCAAGGCTCTAACTGTCATTCAGTTGCTTCAGGTCTTTACTCAGAAGCTATCTTCTCAGTGAAGCCTCCCTTACCTCCATCCTAGGCCCCAACCCTTCCTAGGCTTTCTCCCCTTAGTATTTGTCACCACCTAACATATTATAGGAGCCCTGGTGATGCAGTGGTTAAGAGCTCAGCTGCTAACCAAAAGGCCTGCGGTTTGAATCAACCAGCCACTCCTTGGAAACCCTATGGGATAGTTCTACTCTGTCCTATAAGGTCACTATGAGTCAGAATCGACTCGACAGCAATGGGTTTGGGTTGGTTAACATATTATAAGAGCACTTACTGCTGAAGATCAAAGACCACAGCCTTTGGTATGGATTACACCTCAACATAAAACAAACAAAAACCCTCACAATGGGACCAATAAGCAACATCATCATAAACAGAGAAAAGACGGAAGTTATCAAGGATTTCATTTTACTTGGATCCACAATCAATGCCCATGGAAGCAACAGTCAAGAAATCAAATAACGCATTGCATTGGGCAAATCTGCTGCAAAAGACCTCTTTAAGGTGTTAAAAAAGCAAAGATGTCACTTTAAGGACTAAGATGCACCTGAACCAAGCCATGGTGTTTTCAATCACCTCATACGCATGCGAAAGCTGGACAATGAATAAGGAAGACTGAAGAAGAATTGATGCATTTAAATTATGGTGTTGGCAAAGGATACTGAATATACCGTGGACTGCCAGAAGAATGAACAAATCTGTCCCAGAAGAAGTGTAGCCAGAATACTTCCTAGGAGTGAGGACGGCGAGACTTCGCCTCATGTACTTTAGACATGTTATCAGGAGGGACCAGTCCCTGGAGAAGGACATCATGCTTGGTAAAGAAGAAGGTCAGCAAAAAAGAGGAAAGAAGACTCTCAACGTGATGGATTGACACAGTGGCTGCAAAAATGAGTGCAAACCATCATTGCTGAGCTGGTGCAGGATGAGGCAGCGTTTCGTTCTGTCGCACACAAGGTTGCTACGAGTCGGAACTGACTCGATGGTGACTAACGACAACATATTATATGTTTTTACTAATTGATCTTATTTATCATCCGTCTCCTTCATCTGGGGGAATTTTTGTTTGTCCAGCACTGTGCCTCCAGAGCCCAGAATAGTGTCTGGCATGTAGCAGGTGCTCAATAATATACACTGAGTGGATGAATGAAATGCATGATGAGGACACTAGCTGTCCCAGGAATTCAGAGGGAGCAGACAACAGACAGGAGGGGAATTTCCCAGTGGAGGCAGAATCTCACTTGGGCCTGAAGGATGGGTAGAAGAAAGGATGGGCTGGGGGAAATCTGTCCTAAACAGGGAAAACAGCTAAACGCACACGCCGAAGAAGTCAAGGCACATTCAAAGGACAGAAAGCAGACCATGATGGAGGGTTTGTGCTTGGAAATAAGAGGTAACAAGAGAGGCAGGTGAGGGCAAACTGTGAAGGCATCAGATATGAGCCTAAGGGGCTCGCCCTTCATCCTGCAAGCAATGGAGACCCATTGGAGTCCTTGACAGAAGGAAGAGTAACTTAGCAAGAAAGGATGAAGGGCAAGAAGGCAAGAAAAGGAGGACAAGGCCGATCCATTCAATCAACAAACATGCTAATGTTGTAGGAACTGAGGACACAGCCTCGAACAGTCCGAAGACGATGCTTCCATCCTAGCAGGGGGAGTGCCACATTCTAAGCAGAAACAACACAAGCCTGACATCCGGTGGGGCAGCAGAAAGGGAAGCACAGGAGGGATTTTGCAAAGGGAGAACTCACAAAGCCAGTAAGTGTTTGGCTGTGAGAAGCCATGAGGAGCGTCACGTCAGAGACGACTCTGCTAATTCAAGACTGGCCGGTGGCTCCTATGATCAGACATGAAGAAGAAGTCAGGAGAAGTTCTAAAGCCACCAATCTCAGCGTCACATATTCCAGACACATATTTGCTTTTAAAGAAAAAGCATTTCCTAGTTTCAATGCAACCTACAGAAAGTGATACAACAGAGCAGACGAGGTCAAGAGTAACACAGTCTAATTCTGCCACCTAGTGTCGAAGTCTATGGTGCTGCTGCAGGCTCCCCCAGGCCAGCCCATGATCTGCGTGCCTTCTCCAGGCCCAGCGGCACCCAGGACTCTGGGGAAACACACACATCACGCCAGACACATGGGGCTGGAGGCCATCCACGCGGGCTGCGGTTTCTCTAGGTGAGGCTGTCTTCCCCGCCACCCAACAAAGGAGAACAGCAAACAGGAAGGAGAGGAGTGTCTAGGATAGCCCCCCTCCCCCCAATATTCCCAACCACAGCTTGTGGTACCAGGCAAATGGGGGAAAAGAAACGAGGTCTTTTTCTTCCTCCATAGAAATACTTATAATATCATAATTCATATTCTTTTAGATGGAAACTACCTAACAGAGACTAACATGTGATATAATTAAAAAGAACATTTTCAAGTAGGCAGGCCAAAAATTATTTTCACGTGGTAACTGCATTTTGGATAATGCATTTTTTTGGGGGGGAGGTACAGAGAATTGTTCCTCAGATGTCAGGCATATCATCCAGATAACAGCTGAAGCTTCACATACGCCCTGCCATCAACACTCTTACACCATCCTTGTGGTAAGGGAAAGTTCTGGGTCTTGACTGCAGCAGTGTCCAAACCCTGGCTGTGATACTGTTCTGTAGTTGTTCCAGATGTTACCACCAGGGGGAAATGGGTCAAAAGTACACGGCACCTGTCTGTAGTATCTCTTACAATTGCATGTAAATCTACAACTATCTCAAAATAAAAAAGATTCAGGAACATTTGCATCTCATTTACGGTATTCCCAAATCACAGACGAGTCATTTTACAGGTGGCAAAGCTGCCATAGGGAAGAAATGGGAGTCATTTCAAATGAAGATGAAGAGAAAGGGACTTCTCGATGATTCTGGTTGCATTCACTTATTTATTCACACAACAAAGACTCTGTGGGCCTGCTACGTGCCGGCCACCACGTAGGGGCTGAAGACAGGGTATTAGGCCAGCAGGAATCGGATCTGTCTCTCATTGGGTTTACGTACCACTGAACCAGTTGCCGTGGCATCACCTCTGACTGATGGCAACCCCGTGTGTGTCAGAGTAGAACTGTGCTCCACAGGGTTTTCAATGGCTGATTTTTCTGAAGTAGACTGCCAGGGCTTTCTTCTGAGGCACCTCTGGGTGGACTCAAACCACCAATCTTTCAGTAAGCAGCCGAGCGTGTTAACCATTTGCACCACCCAGGGACTCCTATATACTGGTAGGGAGACAGAAAATGAACAAGCAAACAAGTGAAATGATTCCAGGCTGAGTTCAATGCTATGAAGCATGCAGAATAAGGTTGTGGGACAGAGAATGCCCAGGGTGGAAGGGCCGCTAACTTAGATGGCCCCTCTGAGGGGGGGGATATCTGATCCAGTGACATCTGAATGGTGTAACGGAACCAACCGCATAAAGACAGAGGAAACACAACACATGTTAGGGAAAGGCAACAAGAAAGGCCTCGATGTGGAACCAGCTTGACCTGGTCACAGCTGAGACGGAGGCAGCCAGTTTGGTTGCAGAGGGCTGACTGAGGGGACAGCGGAAAAGACGTGAGGTCAGAGAAGTTGCCCTGTGTCAACCACGCACGGCCCCATCCCATATCGGTAAACAAAACAGCCAAAACGCCTCATTTTATCAAACCATCTTTTGATTCTGTGCTTACATTTTGGATTTTAAAAACATGTCTTTAGAGTATTTCAGAAGTCAAAGAAGCTCTCACAGGTATACGAAGTTTAATTTCAAAGTTACTGCTAAAGTTTTCTTTCCCAAAAACTGTAATTCATAAAGAGCATGAATGCAAATGATGCTGACTCATTCTTGAATTTCAGTGGCGTTTCAGAGACAACAGCGACCATTCTAGCTAATCAGGAAAGTAAAGCAAAGCGTGAAGCAACTCCACATTGCACCTACGTGTAAATGATACCGTAAGTGTGCACTTTGGGGTCTTCCTCTTCAATTGAAAACCTGAACCACTGCTCCTGGGGTCCTTGTCGCTTCACTTTCTTCTCCAGATCCCAGTATAATTCAATGCTGTGATGAGTCACTTTGCCCACAACAGGCGGATGAGGCTTTGAGGATGGCGTGATTTCTAAAAAAGAATAATAGAGTATTTCAGGGTGCCATGTCCTTAAAGGAGAGAGGCCATCTGGGTGCATTACAGACGTTCGGTGATCAAACTGTGTTTTCCTGTGCCTCAGGTACACATATAGTATACCTCCCTGTTGCTTGAAAAGCGGAAATAACACAGAATTCCACTGATATAGGAGCCACCACGTTCATCAAGCAGATGGTACCCCACCTACCAATATCATACTTCACGCATGGGCCCTTCCAAGAGGTTGGTCAACATACCAAACTAATGAGGTTGCTCTCTGAGCTGATGAGGATCAGTTTGCTGCTGCAATCCTTCCATGAGCCAGCTGGTAAAGACACTATAAACAAAGCCAATAGACAAAGCCAATATATCTGGTCCAAATATTTATGACATAGATGACACAGGGTTGATGTCGATTCTATGTAAACAGCTCTTACAAACTGACCTCCAAAAGCCAGAAGGCTAATAACAAACCAAAAGATGAGCAAAGCACAAAACAGCAAATACAATGGCCAAGGTAATTCCCAGGTGGTGGAGGCCTGGTGGTGTAGTGGTTAAGAGCTTGGCTGCTACCAAAAAGTCAGCAGTTTAAATCCACCAGCCACTCCTTGGAAACCCTAGGGGGCAGTTGTGTCTCTGAGTCAGAATCAACTCGATGGCAGTGGGTTTGATTTGGGTTTAGTCACACAAACTGACAACAACTGGGCATAACTTCATATCCAGTCAGATGACAACATAGGGAGAGAGACTCTCATACATTTGTCGTGGGGAAATATGAATCACAGCCTTTCAAAGAAGCAATATGGCAGCATCTATTAAAATTAAAAACACAAATGGAGAGAAAGAACAACAATGAATCTGTGAACCATCTCATAACATGGATGAAACTGGAGGACATTATGCTGAGTGAAATAAGTCAATCACAA